TTAAACACTCTACCTCGGAACTACGGACTCGTTGCTTTGTCGGTTGTGATCGTTAATATGATGGAACTAGGTTGTTGATCCGATCTATCTGGCTAGGACACATATTCGCCTTGAGGCTCGTACTTGAGGGATATCAGGCTGTCTCTTAACGACTTCAGACATATGATGGAGTGGACCCAACAAAGACAAGAGAGACCGGAATGGCAATTTCTGGCTTGTTAGCCGTCATCAGCCAGTCAGGTTTCGGATCCCCAACGCTTCAAGGCACTTCCGGGACAAGTACATGCCCTAACCAGATAGATCGGATGAAAACCTCAGTTCGATATATGTATATGTATAGAACTTCTTGAACCTATAAGACAGTGCAACCCCCGTAATTTAGGCATCAGATATAGCGAGTATCATTAGTACACAGGAGAATGAGAAATTGTGCAAAGGATCACAGAAACCTCTCTAAGACGTTCATAATTGTAAATAGTTTAGCCACTAAAAATATCCTTCATGTAAGAAACATCTAAAAACATAAAATTACTGCATGAGATAATGGGTTAAGTCTATTTCTAAAACAATGTAGAAGCAATTTATAACTTGGCGAAAACAGGAGAACAAAATACACCATACCTTTACCGTGGTATTTCGCACGGGTAGCCGGAAAGCCGCCTCTATTTGGTCCTGTTTAAAAGACTGCAACCGAACTTCAACGATGAATATATGCGCCCTATTTAGACAGACATCGTGATGGATCTTCAGTAAGCTTTGAACTCTTTCACAGTTCGTATTGCGAGACAGAACTGAACGTCCGACCCTTCTAATTGGAGTGCTCTGTCTCGCCGGAAAGAAGCCGCAGTCTATTTTCTGACTTAGAACGCGAATACTTTGAGGTTTTAAAACTCGCTACGAATTTAAACATTGGGTATTAGCTGTCTCTTCCTCTCCAGGGGGTTTTCGCCTGTCACTTCGTGCTTTTGTGCGTTTAAACTGCCTATTTTTTGACTTTGAGCAAGAAATGCATTCATTGTGGTTGAAATGGAAACTGCGGAGAGATCATTCTAAGGAATTCTTGCACAGGAGTCAGTGATTCTTTAATCCAAAATCCGAATACTCGTGAACATTTCAAAGTGCGAATGGTAGTCGTAACAACATATTTTCTGTAGAAAAGACTCGCAGTCCTAAAATTGTAAAAGTGTTTACTGAATGGCTAAGAAGATTACTTTAATTGAAGCAGTTATCACACTTGACCGTTTCTTACCTATGACCTGTTTTCAACCTAGGACTTTTTCAAGATCAACAAGTCAAAACTGCGATTTCCGCATTTTTTTACTTTTCGAGCTGCTGACCTATGCAGACATGTTTGCAAGCCACAGCTGCAAGCAGGTAAAAATCCCAAATCTCTCAAAAACTTAAAAACAAGAAATTATTGTGAATATATCAAATTAAAACGTTCGAAAAGACGATGGTTCGCTATGAATGGCTCGATTTTTGGGGCAGTTTCTTCATGTTAGGTCATCAAATTTGTGTAAAAGCAAAAGCCAGTTAAATAGGTTCCGGCATTCTCACCTTGTTCTTTGGGAACGTGACTCTCTTCCTCTTTGGGTGTTTCAAATTTTGACGAGTTCTCCTGTCATCTTTATCACTCACTTCCAACAGTCCGGATGGCATGTTGCCGGTTGTCGTTCAGAGGAGGAGACAATGACTTTGCGGCGCCTACGGGATTTTAAACGCACTAGCAGTCTGAAATTCAGATTAAATGTTTAACGACTGCTCACACGGAACCTATTCTGTTTACATCGATTTGAACTGGTGCATGTATTCTGCTATGCTCCGTGAACTTTGTTAACCAATAAGAAAATACTAGTCACAACAGCAACCAAATTTATTCGAATTTGTGTTATCTGGACAGTGTAACTCTACTGCGGGAAGCCTTGTTCAAGAAAAATGAAATTTCCTGTTTATTTATATTCTTAAATTTGACTAAAAAGACAGAGGTTCATCATAAGCAATGTTTAAAAATATGTGAAGACATTTCGCCAGCAGAATGAAAATGCAGTTAGATAATGAAAACTGTCTGTCATAAATAACCCTCACGTCTCCGAGTTAGGTTGCCCTTCACAGTTGACGAGTTGGTAGTTATTATTAAGCGGGGTACAGGTATATCAACGTGTATCCCTCGGGTAGTAAATTCTGACTGGCATTCATTTGGTATTTTGTTAATAAATAATAGCATTTTTGGGAGAAACTTCGCCCAGTCGAAGTTTGCCAGCCTAGTAAAGGCGACGGAAGTAAAATTAGCCTAACTCCTCACTGCCTCTCACTCTCAAAAATAAAAATAATAACTATTTAGGACGGCAGAATAAGAAATGTCTAACTTGTCAAGAAATTGCGCCGGAACCTGAATGTTCAAATTTGGATTTCAAAAGAAGTTCACTAATTATTTTTCGCCAAGGGGAATTATTCTTATCCTGCTGCAGGTTTTTGAGTATCCAGAGCTTTTTTTAAGGACAGATAAGACAGAACATATGATCAGCTTTTGATTTTGGGTTACACTTACCTTTTATTCGGTGGACCGCCTGTCCTGGTTTGAAATTTGAATACAGTTCTGCACAATGGAAATAGTTACTGACCATTCTGCAAATATTGCAATTACTATCAATAAGTTCAGTGATGATACCCATGTAAGCATTAAGGAGGTCAAGTTAGGCGAACGTTCGTTCGCCTAACTTGACTTCCTTAGTGCTATCAATAAAGCGGAATCATTTGTTCCGTTTTCCCCTGTATTCGTCAACATTCTTTCCCGTTATCATGATTAGACGACATGTATGACCTTGTATGCTTGGCGCATGAACAAATTAAGGAAGAGAGACGGTACTGCAAGTTTATTATATCTGGCTCTGTGAGCATCTAGGAGAGCAAGGCAAATGGGCAAACGACCATTTTTCATAGTGCAGGTTGCCCCCTTTCTTGTTTTAAATAAAATTAAAGCTACTAACTAGATTCGCG